TTCAAGCGCACCTTGAGAATCTGGGTGATATGCGCTTGACACACGGTGTGTAACTGACAAGGATTTTAACACCTGTTTAAAAAGCTTAGAAAGGAAATTCGTACCTTGATCAGTTTGTACCACCTTAGGTAACCCAAAAGTTGAGAAGAATTTGATCAAAGATTTACTCACCACCGGAGCAGTAATCCTTCGCAGAGGAATGGCCTCTGGGTGTCTGGTGGCCACACACATATAACTGTCAAAAGAAACTGGTTACCAGCTTTTGTCTTCGGTAATGGTCCAACACAATCAACCATCACATGTTCGAATGGTTCACCTATGACAGGTATGGGACAAAGAGGAGCGGGAGGAATAACCTTGTTCGGTTTCCCAGTTACTTGACAGGTGAGGCATGTCCGACAGAACTGAGCCACATCTTGTTTTAAACCGGGCCAAAAGAAATGTCGCAAAACCCGATGTCTTGGTGACTCCCAGATGTCCGGACCACTGGTGATCATGAGCGAGGGATAAAACATTTCGGCAAAAGGCTGTAGGAATCACTATTTGGTAAACAGCATTCCAATCTCCGCCAGCATCAACATGGGATGTCCATTTACGCATGAGGAGATTACCATCAATTAAGTATGCCATGTTTTTCTTCTTTATCTCCTCCACTGAGACAACACTAGAAAAACATTTAGCCAGGCTAATGTCAACCTTCTGGTTAGCGGTCAGCTGCTCACGAGTGACTGGTAACTGTATTGCATCAGCAACAAGTTCCACATACTTCTCCCCTTCCCTGGGCTGTTGGTCTGACTGCACCAGCCTACCAGAGGTAGCACACAAGTTATCCTCTGGGTCACACTCTCTGAACAGAATCGTGTTCGACAAATCTATCACGTCACCCACTTGTCGTGCTTGAGCACGTGTGACAGCACAAGCGGGGAACACATCTGGAGAACTCTGTGCCAGCTCCTCAGAGAGGGACTGGTCACTTCCATCTAATACCTCCAATATGGGTATCACCTTTCCTCCGGCAATATCGTTGCCCATTATAAATGTCACACCTTTTACTGGCAACATAGGACGTACTCCAACTCTGAACAATCCACTGACTAACTCAGAGTGTACGTTCACAAAGTGCAATGGCACTGGGACGAATCCCATTTCAATTCCCTGTACTACACACTGGAACCACAATATGTATAAATCGGACAAGGGCAACACATCAGATAGTATGAACGACTGCGCCGCACCAGTATCTCTAAGGATTCTAACCGGACGCTGAGACACTTCGTCATCTGATATGGAAACAAACCCCTCAAAAATGAATGGTTCATAACTGCGATCTGGGACTGGGACTTTCAAACCACATTTACTATGAGGCATCTGTTTTGATTCCGGCCTTACATCCGTACGAATCAGCCCAACACTCGTAAGCGGCCTGGCGTGCAGAGGCATCCCCCGTTTGCGTTTTAGCAGAAGCAATCATTAACCATATGTCCCACCTTAAGACAATAGAAACAGTGACGCACATCTTTTGGGCGTGCTGTATGTACTGCTGTTCAACCAGAGCTAAGAGTTAGAAACTCCGCGGCCCTCCTCTCCGTACGAGCCGAAAACACGCTCTTGTGCGTCAACACATACTCGTCTGCCAGTACAGACGCTTCCGAAAGTGAGGATACTTTCTGTTCGTTTAGGTAAACTACAATGCGTTCAGGTAAGCAATTTTTTAACTCTTCTAACAAGATTAACTCTCAGAGAGAGTTAAAATCAGTTACCTTAATAGCAGTGTGCCATTTGTCAAACAGATTTCCCTTGTCTCTAGCAAACTCCACATAGGTCTGAGTGGAATACTTTTTATGAGACCTAAATCTCAGTCGATATGCCTCAGGAACAAGCTCATAGGCACGAAGAACAGTAGCTTTGACCACGTCATAATTCAACCTGTCTTCAAGAGGTAGCGCTGACAGATCCTCTTGGGCTTTACCTGTTAATTTACACTGAAGTAATAGGCACCATACCTCTTCGGGCCATTTCAATGCTACCGCTATATGCTCAAAAACACTAAAATAGGAGTCAACCTCTGACTCCCTAAACACAGGTACTAAGGTGATCTGTCTACTAATATCAAAAGTAGAAGACGACACAGCTGGTGAGGACAGCTCACTAGCAAGCATCTCCAGTTCCATTTTACGCATCTCCAGTTTTTGATCAAGTCTACGCGTCTCCAGTTCTTGATCAGGTCTACGCATCTCCAGTTCTGCCTCCAGCTTACGGGTCTCCTGTTCTGCCTCCAGCTTACGCGTCTCCTGTTCTGCCTCCATCTTACGCATCTCCTGTTCTGCCTCCAGCTTACGCGTCTCCTGTTCTGCCTCCAGCTTACGCATCTCCTGTTCTGCCTCCATCTTACGCGTCTCCTGTTCTGCCTCCAGCTTACACGTCTCCTGTTCTGCCTCCAGCTTACGCGTCTCCTGTTCTGCCTCCAGCTTACGCGTCTCCTGTTCTGCCTCCAGCTTACGTGTCTCCTGTTCTGCCTCCAGCTTACGCGTCTCCTGTTCTGCCTCCAGCTTACGTGTCTCCTGATCTGCCTCTAGCTTACGCTTCTCCTGTTCTGCATCTAGCTTACGCGTCTCCTGTTCTGCATCTAGCTTACGCGTCTCCTGTTCTGCATCAAGCTTACGCGTCTCCTGTTCTGCCTCTAGCTTACGCGTCTCCTGTTCTGCCTCTAGCTTACGCGTCTCCTGTTCTGCCTCTAGCTTACGCGTCTTCTGTTCTGCCTCTAGCTTACGCATCTCCAGATTTTCTCGCCTGATTTGTACCCTCTCTTCCACCTCCATTTGGAGCCGTGTCGAGTGGACATCCATCCTGGCATCACTGTCGGACAGTGGGGAGAGTGGGTCAAAATGGGGCAATGTGGCTGGAGCCTTAGCCTCGTCCTCGTCCTCAGACATCGACGGGCTTACAGGAGCAGCAGCCACATCCCCTACAGGAGCCGCAGGCTCAGGCGGCGGTAACTCAAGCACTCGCTTGTTCAATAATACCTCTAACACCACTTTCCTAACTTCCGCTTTCACTAAAACCCTCGGTATGGGTATAGAAAAGTGGTCAGCCAAGGCCTGTAGATCCACTCTACGGCAATTATCAAAAACCTAGCCATTTTAAGCTAGCAACACGAGCTGACGAATACTGCACACGAAACCAGCTAGTCACAGCTGCCAAGCTCAATACTGAACCAGACACTAAACCAATTTGGATGAGTGGCATGGGTATCAATGAGAGATCCCAGACGAGCCCCCACGTTATGTTACGAACCCTGTGGCTTTAAAAGTCTAGGGTGGATGGAAAAGAGACCCGTAACATAGCTCATGCGAATTAGAATATTGACATGGAACAGTGACAATAAAATACACCGACAACCATAAGCTACCGCCAAACACAAAATGTTTTTTATAAACACACAGTAAACGGTTTGGGGAAAAGGGGCTGAGCTGGACCCAAGGAATGAAACAATAAAGTCAAAAACCCCTAAACTGATCTTGCCTGCCTCAAGAACTGCTAAGCCTACTGCTAACCATACAAAAAAATACAGTGGGTGGTCTGCTCAGGTCTAACTAGTGTATTTAGACAAGGTTTTCCTATGGGTAGTGTATGCCCAAGGGCCACTTGCTAAACCCCCTTTTCCCAGGCACAAACAAACAACATAGGTCCAATATGGACTAGACAGCAAACAAGTGAGTACACCAAAAACAAATACACATACAGGATACCTATATCCGTAACAGGGCCTAAGGAGCCAGTGTAGTATCTGTGCAATGGACCATACAAATATGGATGGGGACAAGCCGAGCATTAGTCATTGGAAAAGCAGTGTTTTTGAAAGAAAGGCAGCTTCAGGCTTCAGAAAGCTTTTGTAGATAATCACACTCGGTGTTTGTCCACACAATTAATGGAATATAATACAACTTTATTGGTTAGAAAATAGATTTGTCTTCTGCCTTTCCCAACACCCGCAGATACACACAAACATGTTGAGAGGTACAGGGTCAGCAGAAGTGCAACACCGCTGGATGGAGAGCAATTGTTGGGGGTCAAGTGCTTTGCTGAAGGGCACAATGGCAGGAGATGGTACATGGGATCAGAGACCAGCAGCCATCCAGCTATAAGTTCAGTTCCATTCTCATCTCTGTGTTGCCCTGCCTGGGGCTTGAACCAGAAACCTTCTGGCTGTTGGACAGCCTCTCCAACCTATAGGGCCTAGGAGCTACTGCTGCCTGATTGATCATACTTTGTGTCTATAATGTCTACAATGATAAATTGTGATATCAGTCATTTATATGCACCATACTATTGTGGATTAACCACATCCTGGTTAACTCCTATAACGCAGTAATATGGGATTTACGTCAGCTAGAGATAACACAAAGATCAATATGTGGTATGATGTTCATCGAATTGTAGGGTCTAGCACGATGTCAGTGATATGAGTAGACACTTACCGCATGATATTGAAGAAACATCTATTTTTGGTAGCTTTGGGGAGGCGATTGAGTGTGTAGCATATGGGTGTGGGTGAGGCGTGACATATACGACATAAGCATCGCCGGAGACAGACCATAGGAGAGACTGCGCTGCGCGTTTGCAAAGCTGTCCATCAGTGCACTGCGCAATTGCGCAATAAGGGGATGTTGAGCGAGCAGCGGCAAGAAATAAATACTTAGAAACTAACTGCAGCCACATGTGCAGGGGTGTCTCTGTTTGTAATCACGCGTCCCTGGAGACACTAGGTTCAGTACATCGATGATAATTGGATGTCCTTTCTTGCGACTCTCCATCGTGAGCCGGCTGTATCGTTACATGGAGACATGAGAAGGACAACGAAGAATAACCGTGGAACTGTGTCGGATGTTTGCTTGTTGGACATCGTAGTTCCAGCACGATGCTATATGTAATTTGTTTCAGAAGCTGGACGGTGGATACAATTGTCAAAAGTGCGGATATTTGAGCGGGACGCACTCACAATGCACATAGCGGACATAGCTGTCTCTGTGTTTGTAGTAGTGATCATCGTCGTCTCGTTGCTGTCCAACGTGGTGGTACTGATCTGCTTTCTGTACAACCAGGAGATTCGAAAGCAGGTGCCCGGGTTGTTTATCCTCAACCTAACCTTCTGCAACCTGTTGCTCACCGTGTCCAACATGCCTCTAACTCTGGTCGGACTTATCAACAAAGGAAACACTGGAGGCAACGGGTTCTGTCAAACTGTGGGTTTCCTGGACACTTTTCTCACCACCAACTCAATGCTCAGTATGGGGGCTTTGAGCATCGATAGATGGGTGGCAGTGGTTTTTCCGCTAAACTACCACTCCAGAATACGACACCGGGACGCAGTGATAGGGCTTGGATATACGTGGATGCACTCGCTCTCCTTCTCCACCGTGGCCACCTGCTTTTCCTGGGTTGGGTACCATCACCTTTACGCATCATGTACGCTCTGCAATGCGAGAGCAAGCGGCACCCGGACGCAGTTTATCATCTACACTGTGGTTTTACACTCGCTCACTTTCCTCCTGACCTTGATCGTGTTGTGTGTAACATACCTGAAAGTGCTGAAAGTTGCGCGGTTTCACTGTAAACGCATCGACGTCATCACTATGCAGACCTTATTGCTGCTTGTGGATATTCACCCGAGGTAAGGTGTTCTACTGTTGAGGTGTCCTTGTAGGATTCATTTACTTTTGACATGTTTTCAGATTAGCCCAGAAATTGGGATTGCAAAATTACCAATGCGACTTCAGTGGAGTTATGATTGATTTCAGCACCACAGTTTTGGTCCAATGTTCCGGTCTCAAATCTCAGCCTCTTTATCAAAACTAAAATGACACCAAGATATTCCAAACCAAGAGCTCTTCACATACAGATCAAAACCATTATAACTTGTGATTTATATTCATGATTTGAATAGCGCAGACAGGCGTTATTGGCAGTTAGTTAACCAATAATCATCTAATTTGCCTTGCATTTTTATATATTGTCATAGGCGATACTAGGATTATGCCAATATTACAATTTCATACATACAGCAAAGTAAAAATCATTTTGCATTTTAACGTTAGTTTTAATCAAATGTAATACATCAAAACGCTCTGATGTGCATCCTTGAAATTCTTTGAGATGAGCTATTAGATCAGTTTAGGCCTACTCAAGCCCAGCTTTCCTATGAGAAAGAGGTGAGCAGAGGTATGATTGAATCACACTGAAGCATTTTCTCCCTACTTCATGGATGGTACAATATTAGCATGTGTAATTATCTATGGATATATTGAAATGTCAAGTGCAGTCAAAAACGTGATTTTCCTGTGTTTTATATATATTTCCACCCTATGAGGTTGGAATAATACTGTGAAGTTGTTTAAATGATGATAATGCCCTTTTAGTGTAAGAGCTGTTTGAAAAGACTGCCTGAAATGTCAGCCTGTTGTGGTGGGATGGAGTTTTGGCCTGCCAATAACCGTTTCCCCTCCCACTCAGACCTAGCTAAATAATTTTTTGAGAAATTGCTCTTTGCTAAGAAGCTATTTTTATTTCTTTTCGACCATTTAAATTGAAGCAATCACATTAAGGTACTTAATTGTTACCCAGAAATTATTTGATATTGAGATAAAAACGGCTGCATTGGACCTTTAAGAGCCATGTCATGTATGGTTTACTGTATTTGATTATCCCTTTTCAATCACCTCCACATTACATAACTCAAATAGTTAAACTAGCCTCAAATCTATCAATTAATGTCATCTCACTGCCTGCATCACTTTCTTTGTTATCTATCCTTCTTCTTTCTAAGATGCCGGGGTCAACTCCATGTGATTAGCAATCAATTAAAGAATAGGTATTGACCAGGAATTTGACTTGATTTACATAATGGATGTGTTACAGTTCAGATATCTTGAAACAATCCATTGCCATTGACCTGAGGCTGTGCTCTGATACTGTCCATAGAAGCATGCTGTTTTCTCCATCACCCTTCATTCCACTTGAGAGGCCATGTTTGAGGCTGTGCTCCTGGGTACGTCCCCTGGGTTGATAATGGTCCTCTCTGTCCTTTGGTAGTGTGCGCCAGCGATGCCTGGATGAGCAGAGACAGCGGAGGCAGAGAGCCACCAAGAAGATCAGCACATTCATTGGAACGTTTGTGGTGTGCTTCGCCCCCTATGTCATCACGAGGTGAGCAGAGGTTCAAATCACATCATTCTGAGAATAAACCTTGTCCTTGTGAAACGCCTCCATACACTTACCTAGTAAGGACAGTGAGACAAACAAGAGCAACTCCACATCCCCTAACATTCACTATCGAATCAGAGCCATGGCATTTTGAACCGAAATGTTGACATTTCTGAGAGCTTGTTAAAGAGTTTCCTCAGGACATTAGGTTTTTTGACATCTGTGTTGTTTTAAAACAGTCCTTTTATGCTATCCACTGTTCATAAAATAACTTATCTGTGTGCTTGTCATGGCAGAATCTTCGAGCTCTTCAACCTAGGACAGATAAACCCTCACTGGGGTGTGCTGTCTAAGTGTTTGGCCTACAGCAAGGCAGCCTGCGACCCTTTTGTCTACTCACTGCTCCGGAAACAGTACAGGAAGACATGCAGCAACCTGGCCAACAAGATCCTGAAGAGAAGTTCCTTTAACTCCTCCGCCCGCATGGTGGAGAATGGCATGGCCAATGACACGAACGACACCAACAACATCAAACCCACCCAGTGAAGGGCCTTGCTGTTGCCTGACTATGGCAAGATGGAGACTTTGAGGTACTTACATACCTAAGTACTGAGCCATGGTTGGAGAGTGGAGAGAGTTGAAAAAACCTGAGAAGACATTGCTGATTGGTATCGATTTCGTACTTTCGCAATTTTGAGCGGGGTTAAGTGCTGCTCTGTTGTCTCATGGTGTGACATGAGTGAGAAAACGTGACGTCCTTAATTGGGAAGATATGACAGAGAGTCATGTAGATCATGAATTACTGTTGCTAAGCCAGTGAGTCACTCGTAGTTAATTAAAGTATGTTAATTAGTGTAAAATGGTTTCATTCCAACCAAGTGGTTTTGATGGAGTGATGTCATGCTGTAGCACGTATGACTTCAGATAAGACAAATTAGATTTTGACATAGGTTGGTGTTCATTAGTGTAGCAACACCACCAGGATTCACTGTTCCTGGACCCAATGAGTTGGTGTACACAGTAGCATTCCCTGACTAGGACTCACATAGCTAAGATGATGTAGCTGCAAGGACAAAATTCTACACAATTGAGTGCCTTTCAAACTTCTGATTAAATCACAGTAAGAGGGATAACATGTCTCTGTATCACTATTACCTAAGTGTACTAACATCTGGATGGATAACTATGGGAATATAAAGCATTTGAGATAATTATTTGTTGGTATGATACCTTGTGCGATATAGCTGCAAAATGAATACAGTGACTCAGCGACATAGTTGTGTGCAGATGTAGGGCCTTAATTTGATCACTGCTTTGTTGCTGAGAATTTTCCTGCACAGCAGGAAATGCAAACTTGTAGTGTATTCAAGGTTTAAAAAGGCTTCTAAAGTTTGTAATTTCCACTTTAACATTTCTGACTTGATTTGCGGTAACAACAAATGTATCAACCCCTACAAAAAAATGTCATTAATTATAATACACATAATATTTAACATTTCCTGTTGCTGCAGGATTGTTTTCCTGCTGTGGCAAACTGGCTCAAATTAAGACCCTACATCTGAATGATGGTAGAGTATGGTAAGCTGATGATGTGGCGTTATCAAACTGTTTCTTGAATATTATTATATTGTATTATCATATCATGCATAAAACTGGGTAATTTTGTTATTGAATGTGATAGTATAGCCATTATATCCATACTGTATAATGTGTTTTTAAACATTATATTTTTACTGTACATTACTAACACACACAGTATGACTACTTCATCTATAGAGGAGTCACCTGAGCGGTCAGTAGATTACATTTTCAGTTGTAAAGTTAATACATTTTGGTGATGTTGGCAACCAAGGTAAAGTGTATTACTTTCATTTCCTTTGAGTGTTTAATGCCCTAGACAGATGAAAATGTATATTAATTTTGTTAAAAGCAGTCAAAGCAGTGTTCAGTTTTGTTAAATACATTTGTGATTTTATTGAAATAAATGCTGTGCATTTCAAAAGGGAAAATGCCTCACTCAAGTTATTTTGTTGTATGCATAATGCTTTTGGTGGTATCATACAGTATAGCTGTTCTTATTAGCTGCTGTGACATGATAGTCAACTCTATTTCAAAGTTTTCATCATTGGCCATTGCACTCATATAAATAAGCTAAGGAGACCATTTTCATCGTAGCTCAATACATGTTACTGGTGAAGAAGTATTGACAACTACTAGTCCTGTCTTTGATTAAGTGAAAAGGATCTGGTTTGAGAGCTGACATCTGTGTGCATTTTGTTGCTATAAGACAGACCCTCACAAACTCTTAGCTAGATAATCACTGAACCTTCATGAGGTCAAAACATTAGCCATCTAGTAGTATGGACATCATAAAGATGTAATCCAGACATCCAGTCACATTCAATATCCAGGATCATGATGTGGTATTATATGACATGTTAAAGGTGTGAGGGTACCACTCAAAATTGGTTATGGTGTACAGACAATTTAACTTTACCCAATTTTGTCTTACTTTTAATGTTCAACAACCGTATATCTCAAAGGACAAATCTTTACATTGTAACACTACACTCACAGTGAGAAGAAAAAAAGAATTTAGGAAGGATAATTTGTTTGAGGATTAATCGTTTCAAATATGTTACACCCACCGCTAGCCTGCTGAAATGATGACAGCTCAGCTACATTCTCTAACCCTTGGATTTCACAATAGAAACGGGTTGACAGTTAAGGGCCATGGTAATTGCAGGGTTGTGAGAAAATAAGTGGAAAAAGAGGAAAGAGAACGGAGGAAAGGGGGGGGGGGGGATATCTCAAGAACTGCAACAGTGAGCAGGCATCTGTGACAGAGCCAAAGGATGATGGGTTATGGCAGCCCCTCGCCCTTACTATCACCGCCACAAAACGGTCAAAACTAACACAGAAATGAAAGTGAACTTCAAATAGAGTACCACAGTATGAGTCATAATACCCATAGCAGTCTAACAAGGATATGGTTCCAATAATTTTTCCACCATAAATTGCTAACTGGTAGTGTATTCAAGGTGTAAAAAGGCTTCTAAAGTTAATAACTTCCACTTTAAAATTGCAGACTTGATTTGCCGTAACAAAAAAATGATCAACCCTTACAAAATCCACTCATTATAATCCACATAATAATTCACATTTCCTGTTGCTGTAGGATGTAGCAAACTGGCTCAAATTTTGATCCTACATCTGTATGTCATGAATCATGATGACACAACTTCACTGGAGCGTTGACAATTAAAAAGGTCACTGTAAAATCATCTGCTTCATTTTTCGACAGCAAATTCATCACCTGTCAGTATTATTATATATTTTTTAACACAATGGATCTGAGGGGAAGGTTCCCAAAAAAGTTCTGATCACACTTTCTGTGAACTATCTAATAGATTCTTAATGGGAGCCATCATAAGGAGGAATTCATTTTCAATGCTTATAGCAGACAACTATACCTTTTACGAAACCTGTATTAATAATAGCCCATATGGCTTTGAAAAGGAACGCTATATGAAATTATGAGCTGATATGAATGTCTATATTAAGTCTTATAATGTACTTTAGAGTTATAAAGGGTTATATAAATACATTCACATGAATTCATTACACATAGGCAGTTCATTGAAAGTATTAGCAAAGTTTTGTTGAATTTACAGGCTGGAGCAGTACCTGCCTCCTCACCCCTTTGAGAGTCATGGAGTGGGCGAGAGATGGAAACAAACCTGCACCAGCCACAGTGAATACCTACCCTGTGACTAAATTACAGAGCGTAGGTAGATAGAGAGATAACAAGTGGAGGAGCGAGGGAGAACAGACGAGTGGGGCGACCGACTTCACACAGCCCCACCTTGTGGGAAGGCCTCATTAGGAGAAGTAAAAGTTAGTGCAGACGAGATAAGAACAGACATCACCTATGGCAAGTACTTAAGGCTGCTCAGGAGACCTCAGACATTGTGGTTCTATCTTGTATATGTTCCCCACAAGCGTTAGTCTTATGTTTATAGAATCAGGGTTGCTTATTGTGGACAATGATACACTTCTGGCACAGTACACCTTGCCTGACGACTCAAACTGAATTCTTCCGCTGCTCTATGTTCGCTACAATACATACTTCAGTCTGTGACTGCCATCGTTGAAGTCATTTGTGGTGACGTCAAAATGAGGGGTGTCGTACAAAACAAAGTCATCAGCGATTGGATAATCTCTAACCAATCAGAGTTTCAAAGCCAATGATGAATTTTCTAAACGCCACTTTACCCACGTGTGTTCTGGCTCTGGCCCAACCCATTGGTTTCTGGGACCAATCAGAACAGTTAGAATGTGTTTATGTTCTAGAAATCGTCGGGGAGGTACCTACTCATATCCAGACTCATTGCAGAGATAAAGTAACGTCCGTGGGTTTGGCGTTGCGTTTGACCGGAGCAAGGAGTTTGGGTAGCCAGACAGCAGTCCGCCAGCTATATAATGTCAGCTGACTGTACAATGAGGCTAAAGCTCATCACAGTTGATCATATAAAAATGAGCTGTGTGAGGCTCATTAAAACACGCATGTTGGGCAACATGTTTACGACACAATAGTATCACTGGTATGATATTAGACAATGTGGTCCAGATAGATTTGTCCAGTTTTTGTGTTATTCCTGAACTCCGAAAAGGAATACTGTATTCTACCTGTGGGAGATAAAAAAATATATAATAATTGAAAGACCTCAACACAACCCATCCAGACAATCACAGATTCTTGCTTATTGGTAATTCTCAGCCACATTGTTTCGATCCCTGAACATTTCTTCAGACTCCCAATTAAAATGACACAAGAGCCAAGCCATTTAAGATTCAAACTTTGTTTGATAAATCACATAGATAACAGCTTTTCCAGTATGCAGACACTCCATTAAGACAACAATGCTGACATTAGCATGTGTGTGTGTGTGTGTGTGTATGTGTGTGTGTTTGTGTGTGCATCAGCATACTTTGAGGGTCTTTAATCTTTTCAGGTATTCTGGGGTGGTTTGGTATTCTTCAGCTGTTGTTGATAACCCAGTGGCTGCTCTCTGTGAGTCATCATCATTTCAACTCCTCTCAGTAAGGCTGCCATAACCTTTCACTATCACAATACCTTCCCTGAGCTGCACATTGTTCAGGTTTCAAAGCAATAAAAGATGGGAGAACTTAATTCAAGTTGCCCTTTAAAAACAATTAAGGAGTGAAGTTGTCCAACCTGTATTCACCTTTCAATAGAATTATTTCCGGACACCACCAGATAGATTAAGCCCAATAATATAACACCTGGGGAATATAGTGAGAGATAAGATGCAGTCTGTTTACTCAGTATTTTACAGTGCACCCTGGAAATAGCTTCGTTGTTGCTTTGTTCTCTTTCTTCATTGACCGATTGAAGAAAAACTGATGCACTTTTCACTTTTCAGTGAGAATCTGTGTTTATATCTGAGTTTTTCTTTAAGGGTTTTCTCATAGGTTCTCTACCTTATTACAGTGGGGGAAAAAAGTATTTAGTTCTCCCACTTAAAAAGATGAGAGAGGCCTGTAATTTTCATCATAGGTACACGTCAATTATGACATACAAAATGAGGAAAACAAATCCAGAAAATCACATTGTAAGATTTTTTAATGATTTTTTTTGCAAATTATGGTGGAAAATAAGTATGTGGTCAATAACAAAAGTTTCTCAATACTTTGTTATATACCCTTTGTTGGCAATGACACAGGTTAAACGTTTTCTGTAAGTCTTCACAAGGTTTTCACACACTGTTGCTGGTATTTTGGCCCATTCCTCCATGCA